CCTACTTTGAAATGTATGGCACGGCAAAGCAACAACCAGCGGCATCTGAGCGAACGTCGGCGTAAATAGACGACGGCACAGTCATTGGTAAGTGGAGTGAAGTAAAGTTGAATGTGTTCCGCACAGACGCAACCTTCAACAGGTCGCACTGAATGCATGCCAGACTGTCCGTTGGGTCACTGCTGGCTGTAGTAAATCTGGTCGGGTGGTTGAACACGCTCAGCTCACCAACTGTCACTGAATGCATGCCAGAATGCCTGTTGGGTCACTGATGGCTGTAGTACCACTGTTCGGGTTGTTGACCACGCTCAGCTCACCAACTGGCATTGAATGCATGCCAGAACGCCTGTTGGGTCACTGCTGGCTGTAGTACCACTGGTCGGGTGTTTGACAGCACTCAGCATACCATCAAGCCCTGAATGCCTGCCAGACTGCCTGTTGGGTCACTGCTGGCTGTAGTACAACTGTTCGGGTGGTTGAACACGCTCAGCTCACCATCTCGCACTGAATGCCTGCAGACTGCCTGTTGGGTCACTGCTGGCTGTCGTACAACTGGTCGGGTGGTTGACCACGCTCAGCTCACCAACTCGCACTGAATGCATGCCAGACTGTCTGTTGAGCTCCTGCTGGCTGTAGTACCACTGTTCGGGTGGTTGACCACGCTCAGCTCAAGAAACTGGCATTGAATGCATGCCAGAGTGCCTTTTGGGTCACTGCTGGCTGTAGTACAACTGGTCGGGTGGTTGAACACGCTCAGCACACCACGTCGTACTGAATGCTTGCTAGGCTGTCTGTTGGGTCACTGCTGGCTGTAGTACATCTGGTCGGGTTTTTGACATTACTCAGCTCGTCACCTCGCACTAAATGCCTGCCAGACTGTCGATGGGTCACTGCTGGCTGTAGTACATCTGGTCGGGTGTTTGACACCACTCAGCACACCATCTCGCACTGAATGCCTGCCAGACTGCCTGTTGGGTCACTGCTGGCTGTAGTAAATCTGGTCGGGTGTTTGAACACGCTCAGCACACCATCTCGCACTGAATGCCTGCCAGACGGCCTGTTGGGTCACTGCGGCTGTAGTAAATCTGGTCGGGTGTTTGAACACGCTCAGCACACCATCTCGCACTGAATGCCTGCCAGACGGCCTGTTGGGTCACTGCTGGCTGTAGTACAACTGGTCGGGTGGTTGACCACGCTCAGCACACCACGTCGTACTGAATGCTTGCTAGGCTGCCTGTTGGGTCACTGCTGGCTGTAGTACAACTGTTCGGGTGGTTGAACACGCTCAGCTCACCAGGTCGCACTGAATGCCTGCCAGACTGCTTGTTGGTTCACTGCTGGCTGTCGTACAACTGGTCGGGTGGTTGACCACGCTCAGCTCACCAACTCGCACTGAATGCATGCCAGACTGTCTGTTGAGCTCCTGCTGGCTGTAGTACCACTGGTCGGGTGGTTGAACACGCTCAGCTCACCAACTGTCTCTGAATGCATGCCAGACAGTCTGTTGGGTCACTGCTGGCTGTAGTACA